TGAGATCATCAGTAACAATTATCCCAACCGGGAAGGAGAAGCAGCTGGTGAGACCGACATGCTGGGGACTAAATGTAAGTTAATCCTTTTTTTTATTACTTCTAAAGGTTGAGTTGCATCTAACGTTAGAAATACATGCAATACATATATTTGACTTGGCATATACGTGGTAGGAGCATTTATGTTACTGCTTTTTGATGGACTTTTAAAATATTTTTCAATAGAGATTGGAGTAAAGTTCGGCAGTGAAGATTTATGTCCAGAAGAAATTTTAGGGTCCCTAACACAGTTAAAAGTTTGGGCCTCCGGGAGTCTGCCTCCAAGCCCGCCCCCAGGGCCTTCCATGCTCTATAGGGTGTGATAATGGACCAGCCTTTATCCATCACTGTTTACAACAATTGTCACTTATACTTGACATTAAGTGGCAACTACATACAGCCTATATGCCTCAAAGTTCTGGAAAAGTGGAAATAATGAATAGAACAATAAAGATTCAACTGGCCAAAATGTGTCAAGAAACTCAGCTCAAATGGAATATCCTACTGCCTGTAGCACTCTTACGTGTTCGTAGTACCCCCACCAGAAATATCCCCATTTGAAATCCTGTACGGTCGCCCAACACCTATAATCAGTCACCTACGAGGCGACCAATGTCAGCTGGATGATAATATCATCCGGCAACAAGTTATAGAATTAAGTAAAACTATGGAACAGGTTCAGAAATGGGTGCAGAAAAGGATGCCTGTCAATATATACCCACCCTTAAACCGTCACCACCTGGGTGATCAAGTGTGGATTAAAGAATGGAATATTGTTCCCTTGGGCCCAAAATGGAGAGGTCCTTACACTGTTCTTTTATCTACCCCAACAGCTCTGTACAGGTGGCGGAAGTGACATCCTGGATACATCACTCTACGGTCAAACCAGCAGCAGACTCATGGCAAGCCACCCCTGATCCTGAGAATCCTTGCAAAATCCGGTTAAAGCGGATCACTCAGTCACTAGGGCGTGACCAAGCAGTCACAAGCACATGAACATAACTTCAGGTCCACACTTCTTTATCCTTACCGAGTGGACATTAAAGAGCTACAAATAGGTGTTTTGACAGCCATAATAATGCCTGACCACCTACCAACGTTACATAGTCAGAGTAACCTTAAGGGACCTCTGTGAAGGGAAGAGATGATCAGACTTACTACATTTCTTGCAGTCCTCACATCCAGAAGCTGAGGTGCCATCGCTCAGTCGAAAAATGATAGGATGAGTCCTGCTATGATGCGTTTTCTTGTCATGTATGCAGTGGGTGGGATCTGATCCAACAAGTTGTAGTGAATGTATTAAGACCACTAGAACAGGCATTCAGATATCCCAAACCCTCATTTGGCACTCTTATAATGAGTGCAAAGGATCTGTGTCTAAATACAAATACTTAGACTCTGATTATAGTGTCTGCCAGACAGTTTCAGGAGAACAAAAATGTTTTGACCCACAACTCCAACCTCGTACAATTTGATTGGTTCTCCGAAATGCACATTCCCAAGGGACTTATAAATAAGACATCCCAGGGCATATACTTCAGGTAGGTATTTTGGAGGTTGGTTCGAACATTTTGGAGGTCTGAAGGTCTTAGTGGGAGGAGTGCTTTTTATAATCAGCATGTGTGTTCTACTACTCTGCATAATTCCCTTAGTTATACGCCCTATATGCAGTATTATCGATAGCACCATTGAGAGGAAAATGGAAACCCATGTTATAGGCATGTGGAATAAACCTTTAGCCCAGAAAGAAGTAACATAATATTCTGTATTCGAAACCGATAAAGCTTATAAGGGGCCCCAAAAGTTCTGTTGGCCCCTCCTATCTTGTCATCAGGCCCGGACTGACCATCGGGCATACCGGGCAAATGCCTGGTGGGCCGCGATCGCCACGGGCCGAGGTCGACAAGGGAAATCAGTGTATCACCCCTGCCGGCCAATGCAGGTCCAGTGTTATGCAAGCGCCAGCCCTGTTGTGTGCCTTCATGGGCCGATGAGGAGACAAACTATCTCCCCACCGGCCCACAGACACCAGGATGTGGCAGCCGGCTAGGGAGGGAGGGATAGACGACCTGGGGAGCTCTATCCTGCAGCTCCGCCAGGTTCCTCTCGCGAGATCGGAGCATTGTCGCTGTTACTATGGCAACGCTCCAATCTTGTGAGGGGGATCTCTACCCCAGGAACTGTATCTAAGTTACATCAATCAAACCTACAATTCGTATGTGCAAACCTGAAACCACATACCAATCTCTCCTTGTTGTAATCTGTGACGAAGGACCTTCGTCACTGGGATTTGGAGAGGCCTGCTTGCCAAACTCTTGCCCTGTGGTGAACTTTGGGCCAAAGACACGATTCGTGCATTTTTCCCTGCTATGGTGCATTATATGGGGCTTACCGAATGGATTATGTTTATGGTGTTCGTTTACCAAACAAACCGTTGAACTGTCAGACCACCCGCAAGTAGAGTGTGCGGCTTGTGGTTAACAAGCGCTTAAATGACGAACGGCTGGTGGCGGCCATGTTGTTTAATCGAATGCGGCGGCCATCTTGTTTAATCAAATGCGGTCCGCGTGTTTTGCCATCGAGTTCATGGAACTGAAATCGGACACTCGATGGCACGAACCACCTCCATCTATGTTCGGCTAAATATGCACGAACAGAGCGCCATTCGGTAGAAATAATATACCGAACACACTTCAACAATGACTTTGTGCACGAACGGTCCCGTTCGACTATTTGAAGTGCACTTTTTTCATTGGAAATAGACTAGCCACACAGCCTAATTCTCTGGAACTATTTTGGGCATGAAGCCATGCTTGCGGTCGGTTAAAAAGAGACTTCCATGAAACTTTTGAACACCTGCTCTGATCTGGGTGATTTTTGGATATGTTGTTCATCCAGATCAAGGCTCTCCGAGGGATGTAACACATGTATTTGTGGGGATATGTTCTGTTTTGGGGTACTTTCTGAACTTTGTGAAAATTTGTTTTTTCTCCCTGGAGATAATTGAGTTACTTACAGGACTTTACTCAATTATCTCCCAAGCAGTAGGAAGGGATTGTATGCTGTACATGGGAGTGTCACAGACTATATGTTTGTTCTGATTGATTTTGTGTCCTTTGTGTTTCTGTGCCCCATCAGGTGTCCTTTGTGTCCTTCGTGTTCCTCTGTTCCTCTGGACCTGAACCATTAAAGCTTAGATCATCTTGCACCTTCATGAAGTCTTGGCTCATGTTTGGGGGATTGGAGAATGGCACTCTGGGGATTGCTATAATCAGTATACTCCCCTGACTATAATCACTAAGCTCTTGTAAGAGCTGTTACACTCTTGGCACTAAGAGATGCCTACCCACAGGAAGCTGGATCCTGGTCTTGGGTCCAGGGTGGGTGGCGAGACCCCAACCAAGCTGCGGTGGTTCGTGGGGTTTACAGTGGTTATGGTGTTCCAGTGCAGTGGTGATGGTACTTGCAGGTACTAGTAAGCAGGGATTGACGGAGGTACCCGGTCGGGGTGCAGGCGGTCCGTCACACAATCCATATAAGGTAATTCTGTGCATACTGCTTACTGATTGGTGTAAAGGTACAGTTAGGGGTTGTATAGACTATAACAGTGCTTGTGATTCAAAATTCCAGCGTCTAGACTTGGACACGAGTCGGCTGAGACCCGGCCGGTTATAATAAATCTGTTTGCTTCCTGATTTGACCTGTGTCCGGACTCTCTGTGCGTGGCTTCATCATTGTTTTCCTACAACAATACTGACATACACACATACATACATACTGACACATACATGCGTACTGTCATACATCATGTCTACAGTGGCTGATATTTTTTATTTGTTTTTCTATTGTATCGGTTGAAGGACCACTCACTTGGCAACTAAATACAGAGCGGTTATGGAGTTTTTACAAACATCGATATTCATGCAAAAGTAAGTACTACGATATAAGAATATGACTGCTTCAGTTGCTGGCTATGAACTATATTCCTAATGTTTACTTAATATTAACAGTTCGGAGAGATGTTTGCTAAAAGTAGTTACAGATTTCCACAGTAAAAACAAACATCTTCCTCCGCTGATAACAGTCTCCACTTAGTATTTATAATTTTGCAAATTTGATATATGTCAACAAAAGAGCATTTTCCAGTTCATTTCCTACTTAATGCCACAAGGACACTAAAAAAGGTTCACTCAGTGCATGCACACATCGCCTACAATCCTCTGGGCAAGTTGGCCATAGTGTTGCCATACACCTTATTTGCCAAATCTTACAGGTATTTAAAAAAAACATTTATACCATTCTGATATATTAGCTTTAGTGCTTAAATGTTCTTACAAAATAGCCTTATTTTTTGATGTATTGAGAATATATAGTAGTTAACTTGTCTTTTCCTCTTTACATCTTAGATGAGTAAGTCCAGTGGCGGAACACATTCATTTTTGGGCTACGGGTTCCAAAAGGTAGATCTTCAACTGTCATACAACTCCCACAATGCCGTGCAAAGCGCGATTCCCAGACAGCCCATTCCGTCTGTAGTGCGTGGGCTAATTAGGAAGCTGAAGCCTTAGCAGCAATAGGCGCTCTGATAGGCTAAAAGCGGTCAGATGACACACAGCCAATCACAGCAGCCCATTACCGCTAAGGCTACTGCTTCCTCATTAGCCCAAGCATTACAGACAGAATGGGCTACCAGGGACTCTGGTTTAGAATTCACTGCTATGTGAAGATCTGAAGCTCTAGCATGGATCTTGTCTTAATTCTCCATAGCTACACCTGCTTTGCAGGACCAATTTATTGGCTGAGCCGGTCACCTAATCCTTCTCAGCCAATGAGTTACACCCTGCACCTCTGGGCTCAATGACAAACGCTCCCAGCTTCAAAGAGGAGGTGACCAGTGCCAGGATGACCCCAGGTTATTTGTCAAACCATTAGCAAATTGCTGGACCACTTACCCTATGTAAGTGCCGGGGCACTTCTGACAACATAACCACTACAGAGTGCTGTAGTGGTTATGGTGACTGGAGTGTTCCTTTATTGGAATAGTAGGGAATTTCAAAGGGTGGAAACGTATAACACCCAAAGACATCTGAGAATGGCAGGAGCAAGTGGCTGTAGGTATAAAAGTCTATAACAACTCACAAAGCAACCTAATACATTGTTAAGCCATAAAATTAAAACCACCTGCCTAATATTGTGTAGGTCCTCCTCGTCCAGTTAAAACAGGCTCATGCATCGAGGCACGGACTGCACAAGACCTTTGAATGTGTCCTGTTGTATCTGGAACCAAGACGCTAGCAGCAGATCTTTTACAGGGACACTTGACTGCCCAAATACAAAATAAATAAAAATCACTGATATACCGCAAATGAAGACTCGCATGCATTTAGTTGTGCATTTTTTTAATTGGAGTCATATCTAAAAACAGCTTGCAAAACCTGCAGATCTCTTGTCTGCTGCCCTCTGCAATCCCTCCTCTTCTCACCCCTCCCATACTTTATGTGGCTGTCCAATCACAGACTGGGGTATGTCTAGTCTTTTTGAGTAGCCACTTAGTCACACACACTGGCCAAGGTTAGCATTTATATTTGTTTGTGTGTTAAAAATGCAAAAAACTATTATGAACGCTAACTTTGGCCAATGTTTGTGACTTTGTGGCTACTAAAGAAGACTGAACATACCCCATTTGCAATACCTTGAGTTGTCTTCTTCTTCAAATGGTATGCTATCATGGGGTTAATTCTCATTCCTGGGCTACCATATGCTCTCAAATTCAACATAACCAATCTGGCAAATTGAAAAAACTAAAAAAATCAAGCCTTATATTTGACCCTATAACTTTCAAAAACAGTATAAAACCTGTACATGAGGGGTACGGTTATACTCAGGAGACTTTGCTGAACACAAATATTAGTGTCACAACAATGATTTCATCAGTGAAAGTGCCGTTTGTGTGTGAAAAATGCAAAAAACTTTACTTTCACAGACAATATCATCGCTGTGGTATGTTTTACTGTATTGCAACACTAATATTTGTGTTCAGTTACGTCTACCACGTAAAACAGTACAGGTTTAGGGTGTCTTGGAAAGTTATAGGGTTAAATATACTGCTTGCAAATTAAATCCTCTGGACTTTCTGCCTGGGTTGTCAGACAGGTCTTCCAAATTGCGATCAATAAAATTACTTAATTATGTAAAAACATTGCATAAATATGCACGTAGAATTTAAATATATATACATATTTATATATTTGAAGTCTACATGTATATTTATGAAATTATTTATGTAATTGCATATATGGACATATGTATATTTCGTATTACCGTATTTATCGGCGTATAACACGCACCGGCGTATAACACGCACCTCATTTTAAGAGGGAAATTTCAGGGAAAAAAAACTTAAAGGACCACTATAGTGCCAGGAAAACATACTCGTTTTCCTGGCACTATAGTGCCCTGAGGGTGCCCCCACCCTCAGGGTCCCCCTCCCGCCGGGCTCTGGAGAGAGGAAGGGGTTCAACACTTACCTTTCTCCAGCGCCGGGCGGGGAGCTGTACTCCTCCTCTCCTCCTTGCTCGCGACATCATCGGCAGGAGCTGCGCGCGCATTCAGCCGGTGGCATAGGAAAGCATTTACAATGCTTTCCTATGGACGCTTGCGTGCTCTCACTGTGATTTTCACAGTGAGAAGCACGCAAGCGCTTCTAGCGGCTGTCAATCAGACAGCCACTAGAGGCTCTGGAGGCTGGATTAACCCTCAGTATAAGCACCTTCCTATCACTCCGGCCGGCCACCGCGGACAGCAGAGCGGCTCGGCCACGCTACAGGGGATGTGAGTACCAACTGCAGCCGCCTGACCGCTCTTGACAGAGCGCTCAGGCGGCTGCAGTATTTAAAGGGCCGGCGTATAACACGCACCCACAATTTCTCCCCTATTTTCAGGAAGAAAAAGTGCATGTTATACGCCGATAAATACGGTATTTTAATTTATTTATGTATACATAGATATACATATATATAATTTCATTCTAAGTGTATTTTGATATAAATATATATACACTAATATCAAAATACAGTTAGAATTAAAATTATATATGTATATATATATATATATATATAATTTTTAAAGTTTTATTTTTATTACTTTTTTATTTATTATTTATTTTTTATAATATATATATATATGTATATACGTGTGTAATTTATTATTATTATTTTTACATTTATTAACTTTATTTTTAAACTTTTTTTTTTTTTTTAATTCTTTATTTTTGTAGTGCAGGTGAGTACATACCGCTTTTCATGCCCCAACGGCATAGAACAAAAAATACAGGGTACAAAGCTTACATGGTATAAAAGCATTGCGATTGTCAAGCACTAATTTTTTAAGGTATAGTAACAGGTTTATAAACACGCTTGTGTGAGTTATCTAGTGTTCGATTACAGCATCAGCATTCCTAGTAGGTGAGGTTTTCTAGATACTTGGTGAAATGTAATAATACAAGAGGCTGATTTTAGACTATTTCTGCTTTGTTTTGGAGCTGCTAGGTAAGATATTTCCAACATGGCTGCTTTGTCTGTGTGTGTGATGTGCTTTCAGCCCCAGAGAGGTGAGAGCGGTCTGGGTACAGTGTGTTGACTATCTGGCAGTGAAACTAGATAGAGGTGCGTTTTAACATAAGGTGGGGTGAAGTGGGCATCACTAATGTTGTGTTCTGTCAGGTTAAAACAAAATTGTGGAACAACGTGCTTCTAAGGCAGGAAATCAAAGTGTTTTACAACTGGGTATGGTCGGACTTTGGGTAGTCGGTACCCTGACTTATCCCCATCTCAGTTCTCTGCCCTTTAACCGATGCCATCCCTGGTGGCTTTGTAGCTGCTTCCCTCTGCTGGCAGTCGGCAGACCCACAGCGGCTCGTTGGGCCGTCGGCATGTCTTCCATCCCAGTCTAGGTGTGTGATTAGGCTGTGGTCTTGGGTCCGATCTTTCCACTGTTTGGCTGTGTTGCCGGTTTGCCCTTGGGATCTGCTGGTTTCTGCTCCCCCTTGGCTTGCTCCTGTGTGTATAGCGGTGCCGGCGTCTCTTGTAGCTTGTGTGAGTTATCGGTCTGAGCGTGGGTCGGGACTTAGTGGCTTTAGGCTTGCCTGATGGTTCCCTTGCTACTGGATGCGCCCGCGAGGTTCTGCTTGGTGGCGGGAGGAGACGTTTCTTGTGGCGCCATTTCTGTGCTCGTTTCTCCTCGTGGTGTGAGCCTTGATTTTGTGAGCGTGTAGGCAGCAGTGGTGGTGAGTGTACCTCCGTGCCTGGGGTCAGTGCTTGTCGGTCCTCTATTCTTCGCCAGAATGCCTCGAATATGGCATTCAGCCTTGCCAGAATGTCTGGACCCTCTTTTGTGCCAGACGGCCCAGTTGCTATCGGCACCAGTCTGGTGTGGATGGGCCCTGTCTGGATGTGCTGCTCCGTTGCTTGGGCGAACTCTCTTGGGACCGGGATGACCCCCGCCGGTCCATAGGGGGGGGAACGTGGGCTTTTTGTCGTGCTTACCGCCGTGGTGGACTGCAGGGAAGCGGCCGCCTCCCCCGCGTCCGCCATGCCTGTAGGCCGCAAGTAATTTTCTGCCATGTCGTGCCCAAAGTGCTGATTGTTTGGTGTCCGCATGTACCCCACAGTGGCACCTCACCATTGGTGGCACTTTTGTGTTGGTTTGATGCCCTACAGGCCTGGTTTTGGCTTAGTTCTTGCCTGCTGTTACAGGAGCTATACAGTTTCGTGTCTGCTCGGTTCAGCGGTCAGGCCCCGCCCCCCTATTTTTAAACTTTTTAAAAACTTTTTTCACCAGCAGAGGGACTGCCTGTCAGTTCAGGCAGTTCCCCTACGGGCAACACTATGAACGTCTATTGCCGCCATGTGATCACTCTTTCGGTGGAGAAGAAGACAGATCGCTGGCGGGGGAACAGCGGCGATCAGTCAAGTGAATGGGAATGGAGGGAGAGGGAGGGAGGGAGAGGGGTGGTTAATTTAAATTTTTTTTTAAATTTCTTTATTTTCATTTTTTTTTATTTTATTGATTCTTCACTGAGTGCTTTGACCCCTTGAGGCCCGCAGCACAGGCAGAGCATCGAACCCGGTCTGATGGCTTCCGATGCTCTGCCTCACTGCCAGGCGCCACCATGGAGCAACCCGGAAGTAATCGCTCCTGGGGACTGATCACCCGGCGGCCCGGCAGTGAGGGGTGTATTGCAGGATCTCTGCAACACCATCAGAGCGTCTGGAAGCGATCATGATCACTTTCAGCGCTCTAATTCGCCGCAGACGTTTCAGGTATGTCCGAGATCGTTAACGACTGTTTTTTGTTGGACGTAACTTATACGCCCAAGGTCACTAAGGGGCTGAAGGCCAGGGGGTGCAACCAGTACAATTTATAAAAGTGTTAATTTCGATAGAAATCTGCACTTTTTTTTTTGAAAATGAAAAAAATAGGACACACTCTTCACACATAAATCTTTTCAGCAAGCTAGAGTGCTTTAGGGTTCTGGAGTGTCCCTTTAAGTCCTGCAAGTTGTGAGATGAGGCCTCCATGGATCTGATTTATTGTTCCAGCACATCTCACAGATGCTCAATCGGATTAAGATCTAGGTAATTGGGAGGCCAAGGCAACACATTGAACTCTTTGTCATATTTCTCAAATCGTTCTTGCAGTTCAGCAGGGTGCATTATCCTAAATGAACGAGGCCACTGCTAACAGTCACACCATTGCCATAAAGTGGTGTACATTATGTGCAACAATCTTTAGGTAGGTGGTACGTGTCAAAGTAATGTCCACATGAATGAGAGGACCCAAGGTTTCCCAGCAGAACATTTCCCAGAGCACAACATTGCTTTCGACAGACTGCATTCTTCCCATAGTGCATCCTGATGCCACTTCTTCCCCAGGTAAGCTATGCCCATGCACCTGGCCATCCACATGATCTAAAAGAAAATGTGGTTTTTGAAGGAGCTTTCGTGGTGGACAGGTGTCATCATGGGCGCTCTGAC